CGGAGGAGGTTTGAGGGTGTGGAGACGGCAGCAGAGGAAATCATGACCATGATCTAAACGGTGCAATCTGTGGATGTGGCTCATGCTCCTACGCGGGCGACCTAAGCACAGTTTAGGCCTAGGTGGGCCCAGACTGCTTTTTAGAACATTGATGTGAACCCTGACTTCTTGGATTGAAAGAGTGGAATAGATTGGTGTCTTCTTGGATTGAAAGAGTGGAATAGATTGGTGTTGTCTTGCTAGATTTTCTAATAGAGGTTTCTAAGCACATTATTATTATTATTATTATTGCTAAAAATGCTACCTTTTAAGGAACCATGGAAGCTGGAGTTACATATAATTAGCGGAGAAAGGATATTAAACTTACGAGTATGCTTTTTTTTTTTTTTTTGCTAAATGCTCGTTGCAAGGTTACCGATCTGTTTGGAGATAGGTTTTCTTATGGCCTTAAAGTGACCCCTTTCTCTAGTTTCTCATAAAATCTTATGAATATTTGCCTTCTGGTGAGTGATAGAATTTTCTTATGGACCAATCACCTTCAAAGGCTTTCTCAGAATCTCTAAGTTATCTAATGTAAGATTCATTTTAGCATATGAAACCGTTGCATGATATTGGTGTCTTGAGGCTACTATATGCTGATTAGATTTACCTGATTTCAACTCTAAAGTGAGATGCACCCAGTTCCTGATGTTATCTTTTCTGTGCAGCAAGTGGCTCTACTGAAAAGAATAGCATTCATATGTAATCATAGCGATAGTTAATGACTTGCGCAAACAGCAAAGGCTCTATTACAAAAGCTGAGAATTTAACTATAGGACTTTCTGCTTTTTATGATGTTAACCTAGTCTAGCTTAGCATAATGTAAATTCAAAGACGTGTGAAATTGAGTATTATGATAATACAAAACCCCTTCACTCTTGATACAGATACAAATATGTCTATTAGAAAGAAAAAAAATCAAAAACAAAAATAACAATTGAGTCAGCTACGCATGCTTTCGAGGTGGGTTGGCATGTGTTAGTTAGCAGTGGACTGAATGCTTCTATGTCATTGGATAATTACCGGCATGAATAAACTTATAAACACTAATCTTTGACCAGCTTGTTACAGACTTTCTTTTGACTGAAAATACCATTCAGAAAAAAGCTACTTCTCCATTAATTATTAACCATATAAAAGTAGCTTTTGTGTACTCTAATAACATATAATATTTCATATTACCAAACGGTGAATGATTGAATGGCTAAGATTACCAGCATGAAGAAAGAATTCTCGTTGACTAGCTTATTATTTGATAAATTTCAGAAACGTGTAACTGCATACTGCAAACTTGGGACTGACATGTTATACTAGTTTATTATCGTTGCTATCTAAAATTTTACAGCATTTTGAATCTTTTGAGCGGTTTTCTGACTTCAGTTGTATAGATAATTCATTTATTTATTCTGGCGTTGTTCTCTTGAAGCTGTTAGTAATTGTAATGGTACATCCTATGCAGGGTGGTATAAATGCTGCCTTGGGTAATATGACGGAAGATGATTGGAGGTGGCATATGTATGATACCGTCAAAGGAAGTGATTGGTTAGGTAAACTTTTCAGACCAAATTTTGAACTCAGTTTGTTCAATGTATAAGCACTTACCCTTATACTTATTTTGCTTGCTGGTTGGAGAGTGAAACATTCTCAGCAAGAACTCTTCCTTGTTTTACATAAGTCAAAACTAAAAGTTTATTATTCCTCTGTCATTTCTGATATCTGTGGATAACAAGCTTTTAGTATACCTATGTTTGCAAGTGTTTTTTGGAACACAGACACAAGGCAAATCGAAATGTAAAAACTGCTAGAAGTCTGTCTTAGTTTGAAGCTAACAATGTCAAATGATGAGGGTGTTATATTTTAATTGATTCAATATTCTTTAGCTGTTCAATCTGTGTGATCTCACGTTTGTGACCTGCGTGTTAATATGTCATCAGGTGATCAAGATGCTATCCAATATATGTGCAGAGAGGCACCCAAAGCAGTTATCGAACTGGAAAATTACGGATTACCATTCTCTAGAACAGATGATGGAAAAATATATCAACGTGCTTTTGGAGGGCAAAGTTTGAACTTTGGAAAAGGTAGTGGCTCATATTTTTTGATATAGCATTCCCTGTTAGGTGGTTGTGTATACTTATTTATTATTTCCTGTTCTTATGTGAATTTGTTCTGCATCTTTAGGAGGTCAGGCCTATCGTTGTGCATGTGCTGCAGATAGAACCGGTCATGCATTGTTGCATACGCTTTATGGGCAAGCAATGAAGCACAATACTCAGTTTTTTGTGGAATACTTTGCATTGGATCTGATAATGGATAATACTGGTAACCTATTAAATAAACTTCATCTATTTGTTTATATAAAGGCTTGCCCTTTGTGATAAGAGAAAAGACCTGCATGGTTTTGCACGTACCAAGTGTTTTAGAAAATTAGTACATCTAAATGACTTGTGCATTTTCATTTGCTTTCAACTAATATGTGTGCATGAATTTGATTTGTCTTTTTGCTGGATCCTGAATTAGCATTTGTACCTGCTCTTTGTTAATTTTACATCATATAAAACTTGTTTATATTTGGCAAAGAAGTTATAAAGCTGCATGATGATATTCGTTGTTTCCTTGATACATATTAACCCTTAACAATGGTAGTCTGTTGTTTGCAATGTTCTATCCTTCTATGCTGTTTAGCACATGATGTACATGCTAGCGGTCAAGAAGTCAATACTTTGCATTTGAAAATTTTCCCTTTCTTCTCTGGTTGGTTTCCCATGGTATTCATCTTGTAATTATTTATGCGTTTTTTTTGTTTTATATTTTTCAATTATGCTTAGGCACTTGTCAGGGAGTGATTGCTCTCAACATGGAGGATGGGACACTTCATCGCTTCCGTGCTGCATCAACAATTTTAGCCACTGGGGTAGCTATGTTTTCTAGTTTTTCCATTATAGCTTGATTGGGATTCAACATCGAGTATAACATCTTTGAAATTAATACTTTTATAATCTTGTTAGGGTTATGGAAGAGCTTATTTCTCTGCAACTTCAGCTCATACGTGCACAGGAGATGGCAATGCTATGGTTGCACGTGCTGGATTACCACTTCAGGTTTTTTTTTGGTTGTGTAGAAATTTTTTTTGGAGGAAACACCACTAAGCACTATACTCAAGTTTGACTTGTAATTTTTCTCTGTAGGATCTTGAATTTGTACAGTTCCACCCGACTGGGATATATGGCGCTGGCTGTCTCATTACTGAAGGTCCTTACTACTGGCCAGCATTATGTAGTTCTGTGTCATGTGATACAGCAATATGTGGATGCTAATGTGTTATTCCTGTTTATAATTTTATTAGGATCTCGAGGTGAAGGTGGTATCCTTCGGAACAGTGAAGGAGAGCGTTTTATGGAAAGATATGCTCCTACTGCAAAAGATCTTGCATCTCGGGATGTTGTTTCAAGGTCTATGACAATGGAAATCAGAGAAGGTCGTGGTGTAGGTATGGAATCAAAAAAATGAAAGCTCATTTTTGATACAATTTATTTGCTTTCTGTTGGTCTAATGTTTCTCATGATTAATTGGACTACCATTCCTCTTGTTTAATTTAGACTATATTCTTCTATCAGTCTTGATTGACTAGTATGATATTTCTAGTTTTTATTACTTAGTTGATGAAACCCAGGAGCATCCTACTTCCTTGGCTACCGTATACATTTTTACCTTGAGTTTTTGTTTTCTTTTTTAGGTAATTATTTTAGTGCACGATTATTCGCATAGGAACTTGATAATTGTTCCAATCTTGTTCAGGACCATTGAAGGTGTTAGTCAAAGAATGTGTGCAGACCACCGAAAGCACACAAAGGAAAGTTTTTTTTTCAAACTTCTCATGCCACCGAAAGAGCCTTTGGCTCTTTCGGCTTTGTCAAAATTCTCATGCCACCGGAAAATCAGAAGAGGATAGGTGAGCGGGTCCCAGAGCAAGAAAAAATTGTACGTGGGCCCCACCGCGGGCCCCACCACTAATAAAATATTAGTGCATAGTGTTTTCCCAAACACTATAAATAGGCCCCCAAACTCTTGAGGAAAAATCATCCCAGAAACAACTCCTCTTATAGAAGAACAAGAGAGAGAAAAGAAAGGCTTAGAGAAAAGTCTTTGTGAGAGAAAATTATGAGCAATTTTCAGAGTGGGATTGAGTTGTGAGAAAAATTGAGTGTTGTAAAATTTCTCCCAAATAGTGAAAGATCTGCAGCAGCCCGTGGACGTAGGCAATTTTGTGCCGAACCACGTAAATCTTACGTGTTCCCCAATTTTGCGTAATTTATTTTTCGCTTTCTCTCAAATCTGGCAATAGGGGAATCCGGGTAATTTCCCAACAACTGGTATCAGAGCTCTGGTTGTGACGTCTGTCAAATTTCTGCAAGGTTACTATTCACGTGAATAGTAAATTTTGTGAATAGTGGAATTTTGCCGTGTCGGCAGAGGTATCTTAATACAAGGTGGTTCGCAGAAATTGTCAGAAACGATCCAGAGGAAGTCAGATTCGAGTGGGAGCGATGGCTGCAGACGAAGGGAAGGTAAAAATTGAGAAGTTCGATGGTGCGGACTTCGGCTTTTGGAAGATGCAGATCGAAGACTATCTGTACCAGAAGAAGCTGTATCAACCTCTCTCGGGAAAGAAGCCAGATGATATGAAGGATGAAGAGTGGGCTCTCCTCGACAGACAAGCCCTTGGAGTTATCCGATTGACGCTATCCCGCAACGTTGCCTTCAACATAGCAAAGGAAAAGACCACGGCGGGTCTTATGGCGGCTCTCTGCAGCATGTACGAGAAGCCCTCTGCCTCAAACAAAGTTCACTTGATGAGGCGGCTGTTCAATTTGCGAATGACGGAAGGCGCATCGACAGCTCAACATCTCAATGAACTCAACATAGTCACAACCCAGTTGAGTTCAGTTGGGATTGAATTTGATGAAGAAGTACGAGCATTGATACTTCTTTCTTCTCTACCAGAAAGCTGGAACGCTACAGTCACGGCTGTGAGTAGCTCATCGGGAAGCAACAAGTTGAAGTTCGATGATGTTCGTGATCTGGTTCTTAGTGAAGAGATCCGACGGAGAGAATCGGGTGAAGCTTCAACCTCCTCAGCTTTACACACGGAGTCTAGGGGAAGAACTTCAGAAAGAAGTTCAAATCACGGCAGATCAAAATCTAGAAGGAGCAAATCTAGATCAGGAAAGAAAGACTTCAAGTGCTACAATTGTGGCAAGAAGGGTCATTTCAAGAGGGAGTGTCGGGCACCGAAGAAAAACACCGGCGCACAGGAGTCTGCCAACGTGACTGAGGAAGGAGGTGATGCTATGATTCTAAGCGTCAACAGTCCGATTGAATCATGGATTCTTGATTCAGGGGCATCTTTTCATTCCACCCCATGCCGAGAAATCATGGAGAACTACGTCAGCGGTGATTTCGGAAAGGTACATCTAGCAGATGATGAAACCTTGAAGATTGTTGGCAAGGGAGACATTCGATTAAAATTGCCAAATCAGACCACATAGAAGCTGCAAGGAGTAAGACATATTCCTGGTCTTAGAAGGAATTTGATCTCTGTGGGACAACTTGATGGAGAGGGTTATTGTACAACCTTCTCGGGTCATGAATGGAAGATTACCAAAGGAGCACTCGTCATTGCTCGAGGTAAGAAAAGTGGTACTCTCTATATAACCTCTAACTTAGAGAATATCATTGCAGTAACAGATGCAGATGAAAAATCAAACCTATGGCACCAAAGGCTTGGCCATATGAGCGAGAAAGGGATGAAGACACTTCTGTCAAAAGGGAAGCTACCGGATCTGAAGAATGTAGATGTCGGCCTATGCGAGGATTGCATCTTTGGCAAACAGAAGAAAGTCAGTTTTGCAAAGATTGGCAAGACACCCAAGACAGAAAGGTTAGAATTAATTCATACCGACGTATGGGGACCATCTCCAGTTTCATCTCTTGCAGGCTCACTGTACTATGTCACCTTCATTGATGATTCTACAAGGAAGGTGTGGGTTTATTTTCTGAAGAAGAAATCAGAAGTCTTTGATACCTTCAGAAAATGGAAGGCCATGGTGGAAAATGAAACTGGTTTGAAGATAAAGAAGTTGAGGTCAGACAATGGAGGAGAGTACAAAGACAGTAGATTCAAAGAGTTTTGCGCAAACAGCGGGATCAAGATGGAGAAAACAGTTCCCATGACACCACAGTAGAATGGCGTAGCGGAGCGCATGAACAGAACTTTGAATGAACGTGCCATAAACATGAGGATACATACCGGACTGCCCAAGTTCCTATGGGCTGAAGCTATCAATACCGCAGCCTACCTAATCAACCGTGGACCCTCAGTTCCTTTGGATGGTGGAATACCGGAAGAAGCTTGGAGCAAAAAAGAGGTAAACCTTTCACATTTAAGAATTTTTGGTTGTATCTCTTATGTACACATAGATTCTGCTGAAAGAAGTAAACTTGATGCCAAATCTAACAAATGTATTTTTGTTGGTTATGGTGGTGATGAGTTTGGTTACCGATTTTGGGATTATGAAAATCGGAAGATCATCAGAAGCAGAGATGTCATATTCAATGAGAATGTGATGTACAAAGACAGATCAACTGCAGAATCAAGTAGCTCCAGTACAAAAGCTGAAACAAAGGAATTTGCTGAATTTGAGGAGATTTCTGAAAAAGATGTTCAGACTAGCCCTGAAGCATTTCAAGAAGAACCAAGCACGCCAGAAGTGAGACGCTCCTCCAGAATTCCTAAGCCAACCCAGCGTTATTCGCCTTCTTTGCACTATCTGTTGCTGACTGACAGTGGTGAACCGGAGTGTTATGACGAAGCAATACAGGTGAAGGATTCAGTCAAGTGGGAGTCTGCTATGCAAGATGAGATGGACTCGCTCATGTCAAATCAGACATGGGACTTAGCTGAATTACCACAAGGTAAGAAAGCTCTTCATAACAAATGGATTTACAGGATCAAAGAAGAACATGATGGGAACAAACGCTACAAGGCAAGGTTGGTTGTCAAAGGCTTTCAGCAAAAGGAAGGTATCGACTACAATGAAATTTTTTCTCCGGTTGTGAAACTAACTACAATCAGATTAGTGTTGAAAATTGTAGCTGCTGAGAATTTACATCTTGAGCAGTTAGATGTAAAAACAGCTTTCCTTCATGGTGATTTGGAGGAGGAGATTTATATGAAGCAACCAGAAGGCTTCATAAAGGCAGGCAAGGAAAATCTAGTATGTCGTTTGAAGAAGAGCTTGTATGGATTGAAACAAGCTCCCAGGCAGTGGAACAAGAAGTTTGACAGCTTTATGGACAGCAACGGTTTCACTAGATGCCAAGCAGATCATTGTTGCTATATCAAGAGGTTTGACAATAGCTTCATTATTTTATTGTTATACGTTGATGACATGCTCGTTGCAGGATCAGATCTGCAAGAGATTATAAATTTGAAGCAGAAATTGTCAAAACAGTTCGCGATGAAAGATCTTGGTGCTGCAAAACAGATTCTTGGAATGAGGATCAAGAGAGACACGAAGTCTAGAATCTTGATGTTATCACAGGCTGAGTACATCAACAAAGTACTCTCCAGGTTCAACATGCAAGATGCAAAACCAGTGGGTACATTTCAAAGGTGGAGATACAATACTAACAGGCTATGTAGATGCTGATCTAGCAGGAAATGTTGATATCAGAAAGAGCACTACAGGGTATGTATATACTCTAGGAGGTACTGCAGTGAGTTGGGCTTCTCAACTGCAGAAGATAGTTGCTCTCTCCACAACTGAAGCAGAATATGTCGCTGTTACAGAAGCCAGCAAGGAAATGGTGTGGCTTCAAAATTTCTTGGATGAATTAGGCAAGAAACAAGAAGACAATGTCTTATACTGCGACAGTCAAAGTGCTATTCATCTAGCGAAGAATCCGTCTTTCCATTCCAGAACGAAGCACATACAGATGCGGTATCATTTTATCCGGTCACTTCTGGAAGATGGAATTTTGAAGCTTGAAAAGATCAGTGGAGCTCAAAATCCGGCAGACATGCTGACAAAGACGGTGACTATTGACAAACTGAAGCTGTGTTCAGCTTCAGTTGGCCTGCAATAGTATGAAGACCGGGAAGAGCTGCTGCATAGATCGAGAAGTGAAGACAGATTAAAATCAGTCTTCAAGTGGGAGATTGTTAGTCAAAGAATGTGTGCAGACCACCGAAAGCACACAAAAGAAAGTTTTTTTTTCAAACTTCTCATGCCACCGAAAGAGCCTTTGGCTCTTTCGGCTTTGTCAAAATTCTCATGCCACCGGAAAATCAGAAGAGGATAGGTGAGCGGGTCCCAGAGCAAGAAAAAATTGTACGTGGGCCCCACCACGGGCCCCACCACTAATAAAATATTAGTGCATAGTGTTTTTCCAAACACTATAAATAGGCCCCCAAACTCTTAAGAAAAAATCATCCCAGAAACAACTCCTCTTATAGAAGAACAAGAGAGAGAAAAGAAAGGCTTAGAGAAAAGTCTTTGCGAGAGAAAATTGTGAGCAATTTTCAGAGTGGGATTGAGTTGTGAGAAAAATTGAGTGTTGTAAAATTTCTCCCAAATAGTGAAAGATCTGCAGCAGCCCGTGGACGTAGGCAATTTTGTGCCGAACCACGTAAATCTTACGTGTTCCTCAATTTTGCGTAATTTATTTTTCGCTTTCTCTCAAATCTGGCAATAGGGGAATCCGGGTAATTTCCCAACAGAAGGATCATATTACCTGTATTTACTTAGGCTCTGATAGTTGCTCTGATCTTCTTCAGGACCACTGAAGGATCATATTTATCTGCACTTGAATCATTTACCTCCCGAGGTTCTTAAGGAAAGACTTCCTGGTATATCAGAAACTGCTGCTATTTTTGCTGGTGTTGATGTCACCAAGGAGCCAATTCCTGTCTTACCTACAGTTCACTACAACATGGGAGGGATCCCGACAAATTACCATGGGGAGGTATGTTCAACAATCTCATAACCTGTGTAATTATTATTATTATTGGCATAATAAATTTTCTGCTTGCTATATTATTTTAGCCTGGTTGGTCTTCAGGTTGTAACCATGAAAGGAAATGACCCAGATGCAGTAGTTCCAGGACTAATGGCTGCTGGGGAGGCAGCATGTGCCTCTGTTCATGGTGCTAATCGGCTCGGTGCAAATTCCCTTCTTGATATAGTTGTTTTTGGCAGAGCTTGTGCTAACAGGGTTGCTGAGATTCACAAGCCAGGCAAGTCATTTTGTTGTCATCTCTCTTGTTACATATCTTATGTGTAAAAAATAGTCCCTTATGTAACAGATATATTATATACATCCTTGTAGGAGAGAAGCAAAAACCTCTTGATAAAGATGCTGGGGAAGGGACTGTTGCTTGGTTAGATAAGTTAAGAAACTCAAATGGGTCATTGCCAACTTCAAAGATTCGTCTCAATATGCAAAGGGTGATGCAGAATAATGCTGCTGTGTTCCGAACTCAAGATACTTTAGAAGAAGGTACTATCTACACCTACTAAGGAAAGTTTTCCTAGCTGTTTATTTTCTACACATGCTTGTAAGGACCATCTAGAGCTTAAAATTGGCTATAGGCAATATCTGCTTGAATGTTGCTGTCTGGATAAGCTGATCACCGTTTCTTGAATTTATATAGGCTGTCAGTTGATTGACGAGGCATGGGAGAGTTTCCGTGAGGTCCAAATCCGTGATCGGTCGTTAATATGGTAGTTCTTTCCTCTTCGCACATTATTTGTTGAAATTCCAGTTTTTAGATTCCATTAATTGAAACATGTTTCTCATTACAATTGTAGGAATTCTGACTTAATAGAGACTATTGAACTGGAAAATCTTTTAATAAATGCATGTATAACCATGCATTCGGCTGAAGCAAGAAAAGAGAGTAGAGGAGCTCATGCCCGTGAAGACTTTGCAGTTAGATCCTTTCCCTGGCTTTCTTATTTTGTTTCCCCACCGTTTGAGTTGTTTTGTTTAACATTATGTATCATTTGTTATCTGCAGAAAAGAGATGATGAGAATTGGATGAAGCACACACTAGGGTTGGTATTCATATCCTCTTTTATATTCAGTTTTGTCTGCAATCGTGATAATAGGATCTAGTTCATTCTACATTTCACGTGCTTCAGTCTCCAATGGGAATTCTTTTGTAGTGTGTGGATGTGTATAGTGGGCATACTGGATGTGAGCAGTCACCTTATTTAGCTAAATAAGCAACCAAAATATAGAAGTGGAATGGCCCACAACCTTTCAATGTGACTGCAGAATGGAGCTCATAACTATATGCCTCTTGGTAGCTTATCTAGCGAAATGAGCTACCACCTCATACCCATATCTTCCCTTTGTAATAGATTATAGCTTGCTATTGCTCAAAGTCTCTAGCTGATTTTTTCTACCACATATGAATGAGTAATAGCTCCGGTCAAACTTGTGTGCCGATTTTTTTTCTCAGCAAAGAACGAAAAGGAGGAACATGGGTAACTTGTATTTCACTTATGAAAGATGAGAACATTTGTTCTAGAAATACTTTCGTAAGGTGAAATATAGTTTTTATGAGTTACTATTCTATCTTCCAATTTGAACTTTTATATATAGTCAGTCATTACCCACATATGATGTTTTGAAGCCGGTACGATAAGTGAATGAGTAGACTTACACGGACATAAAGTAATGGAGGTTCTCAGTTGAGGCTCTGATATGGGCAAGTGCAATATGTCATCATATTATTCACTACATGAACTGTGATACGTAAAGTTTTTTATCTGCTCCTTTCTAAGTAGCTGTGTAATGTATATTTCTTCTGTTTATAGGTACTGGGAGAAGGAGAAAGTTAGGCTAGCATATAGACCCGTCCATATGAATACTCTGGACAGTGAAATCGAAACATTCCCTCCAAAAGCACGCGTTTATTGAAAGCTGAAGGTCATCGGTTCTGTTGGATTTTTGAAATTACCTGATTACTGAAGGTTTTGAAGTTCAAACGAACGGAATAACGACGCTCGCTTCCTCAAGAATAGGAGAACCGCAACTTATGTTTGGCAGAGAAGTGAATACCATTGTTATGTATTCGGACTCGAGGGAGCACTGATGTTCTGATTATATATATTCTCATAACAAATAAGAAAGTTTTCATATGTTCTCCTGTTTGTTATTTGTCTAAATGTAAATTCTGTCTCTCTGGTATCGCCCTATACATCTTCTTGTCAAATGTGCTGTTTTTAAAAAAAATAATAATAATTTTTAAAGTGTTATCTGTACGTAGTACCAGTGATGTTTATTGTTTTTGGGAATTTTGTTTCCCCTTCTGTCATCTGGGCTTCTCTTATGGATATCTTTCTATCATTTTACGCTACCTCTAAACTACGCTGCTGCTGTGGTAATGATATGGTTTTGCTGTTTTTACCACATTAATTGTCAAGGACCCAAAATATGAGACCAATAGGGAGGACAAGTGAGGTGTCCCCCTCCTATTGGATAATGAGTTGGCCGAAGCTTTTAAAATTATGAAATGAATAATGCTAATTACACTACTTCGATACTGCTAGAGTGAAATGTAGGCTCCATGATGACTCGTCACTTTTAAAAAGAGTCGAAGAGAATGGACCTCGTACTTTTCTCTCTCGTAATGTATTAGTAGTGTAGTCATCGCTACTTACTGTTGTGAAATGGTCCTAAGCAAAACTGAGATGAAACTTATTTGAGGAGATGAAAATGCTGTGATTAGTTGACCTTTTTTTGTTGCGTATGGGTCTCAAGGAGGCGAAGAGGAACCAAAGAGAAGAGGAGAAGATGAGAAGGCTTTTTTTTTTTTTCCTTCAGAAAGTTGGTACCTTTGGCGGTTTTCTCCACATAAGAAACAATTATTAATGAATATATTTGACACCTTACCTGTGCCATAGTAGTGCATGCAACCTCCGCTTTTAGTTTGGTGGTGTTGGAGCCGCATGCGGTTCCAACTGCATCCAACCTCTTAACGCAACAAGAGTTGGATTTGGTGGTGCTACAGCTCTCGACTTGTTGTTGCAACGACAAAAAGTCTTGGAAATAGAGGAGTTAGGGCGTGTTTGGAACGTATTTTTTTGGGTGTTTTTTGGGTGAAAGCCTGACGAAGTGTCAGGCTTTCACCCTAAAACGCCTCTTTTTCACCCTAAAACGTCTGTGAAAGTCTGACACTTTGTCAGGCTTTCACCCAAAAAACCCAAAAAAAAAAAATCTGTCCAAACGCGCCCTTAGCGACAACGCTCATATTGAGATGTGGTGCAACAACACGTGTTGAATGCCTACTAGTTTTTCTTTTCTTCTTCTTCATTTATCCCCACTTTAGTATTTTGGAATAATAAACAATTGGTGTTTCACTCAAAAATTTTCCTCTCTCTAGATGCGTCGCCATCTAAGGGTAAAGATTCATAAGCCTTAAACTTTCCCTTTATTTTCTTGGACGAGTTTCATTATTTTTTTCTTAAAAACCCAAAATTTCTTATAAAAATTCACAACTAATATTTTTTAAAATACATTTTTTTATTTAAGTTGAACAAATATCACTTTTCTGGTAAAAGTTTAATTGTTCTGGATTTGAGAAAGTTCCAAAATTTCATTTGATGAAATTTAGAAAAAAATTGTGAAAGAGTTTAAGATAAATAAGATAAAATTTACCATTTTCTTGTAAAGAAAATTCTAAAAATAGGTAAGGTGAAACTTAATAAGTATTCTCCAAAAAATTATTTTTGAAACCTATTGGACAAATTCATTATATATAGAAAAAAAATATTTTCCTAAAATTTGAAAGTGATACGAAATTCAACTATTTGTTATTAAAAATATTTTTTGAAAGACAATTTAAGAAAGTTTATATTTTTTTTTTTTGTGAAAATATTATATCTTTTGATTTATATTGGGAAGAATCCATTATTTTTGTAGTGGTGTATTTTAAACTCCACACGATGAAATGTTGATTTTATAACACACATAGCTGAACTAACTTTTCATCCAAACAATAGGATGAAGCATCAACGAACAACACATTGCTATAAGCTCACTTGTAGTTCTAACTAAACCAAACCAAACACACCATGCGTGAGAATAGTGTAGAAATTATTACTCAGTTACCAATTTCCATCATTTTAAGCAGGCATTCGCTACATTGTGATTGGCACCCATGCTCTTGGTATGCAACTTCAAAACTTCCGACGTCATTCGCAAGCTCTTCAAATATATCATGCCTGCTCTTCGATCTCCTCAGTTCGTAACAGCGTAAATGTAAACAACAATCTCATCTCCTTCGTATTTGCAGACACGTATATAATGGATAAATTTTCAAAACCGACCCTTTTGGGTTTTTATTTGCAAAAAACGACCTATTTCACTTTTATTTGCAAAAGCCGACCTGGTTTCAGCCTCGGCGCTAAAACCAAATCGGTTTTTGTGAAAAAACTGCCGAAACTTCACGGGAGTTCAACTCCCGTGAAGTTTAGCAGCCTATTTAAAAGTCTGTTAAAACTTCACGGGAGTTGAACTCCCGTGAAGTTCTGTAACATGCAAAAAAAAAACTCCAGGCTAGAATTCCATTCATCAGAATTTCTTTTCATTTCCCCATTTCAACGAAAAGCATAGAGATGACCAGCACGGGAGTAGCCAGCAACAACCAAGAGATGACGAGCTCCTCCTCCTCCTCTACTGCTTCTACCGCTCCTCCTTCTCTTGAATCTGTCTTGTTCCTTCTTTGCCAGCGATGCCAATAGAGCTGGAGCAGACCATGGAGGAGGAATCACGGAGGAGATCCTCATGATGCCGCAACTTCTTCGTGCCATTGATTTGGGCAATTTATTGGGGGTTTTGCCTCTTTGAACGTGTCCTGCCACCATGATCCCCCTCCCCTCCACCGATTCTGAGGGGATTTCTCCATCCAATTGATTGGTATCCAACTCTATATAGGTCAGGTTACACCTTTGCTAAAACAATGAAGGAACTTTCCCTGTGAGCTTATTACCCCCGAGCTTGAGCCTGAGACTTTGAGAAATGTTTTCAGGGATAGCTCCTTCAAGGTTATTACAGCTCAAATCAACGTACCCTAAAGTAGGAGATAATAGGAAATCAAACGGGAACCGCCCATCAAGAGAATTGTAGCTGAGGTCCAAAAAGTTTAGATGTCTAGTGGGCTCATCAGGAATCATGCCAGTAAATCCATTTTGATTGGCAGCAAACCACCTCAAGCTCCGGATTAAGTTTTTTTTGCATGTTACAAACTTCACGGGAGTTCAACTCCCGTGAAGTTTGTTTGGTCTACATAACTTCACGAGAGTTCAACTCCTGTGAAGTTTAGCAGATTACTAATTAGGCTGCTAAACTTCACGGGAGTTGAACTCCCGTGAAGTTTCGAAATTTTTTTTACAGAAACCGACCTGGTTTCAGCGCCTGAACTGAAACCAGGTCGGTTTTTACAAATATTTTAAAAATAAGTCGTTTTTTACAAATAAAAAAATCAAATAGGTCGGTTTTTACAAATATTTTAAAAATGAGTCGTTTTTTACAAATAAAAAAATCAAATAGGTCGGTTTTGAAAATTTGTCCCGTATATAATTTTTGTAGATATATGAAGCATTGGAGACGTCATAAACAAGCCAATTGTTGTCACCTTTTTTTTCCTCTGTGATGGGTGTAGCTCAAGATTGTCCTCACAGCATAAATACTTTGATGGATACAGAAACAGTGAATCTATGATGGGTGTGCTTGCAGCTCAATATTCTTTACGCATGTTTCTTAGTTACCATTTACCAGCGTTTTGATTCATAAAGCACCGGGGCCTCATAAGTATCCCTTAGAATTTTCTGTGGAACTTTAACTGACATATATAACTCCAAAAGTTACTCCACTTTAACCATCCTAATTTAATTCAAGAAATCATATTATTCTCAATCTCATTATTTTGGCGAATAACCAATTCTATGTACCCAAAATAATTACCTTAAATATTTCTTATCATCAATAATATGTATCGTATTATGTACAGTTATCCCTTTTCATGGGTTACTAAGGGCCTGTTTGGTTCGTTTCCTTCACTTTCTATAGATGACTTTCCTTCACTTTCTTGTGTTTCCTTCACTTTCCTAAAAAATGTTTCTTGTGTTTGTTTCGCTCAAAAATATGTAGTGAAAGTACTTTCCATCATTTTCTAGTGTTTGGTTCAACTTGAAAAAAGAAGAAAATAATTGATGTGTGAATAGATTCCATCATTTTCTAGTGTTTGGTTCAAACTAAAAAAATCAAGAAAACTTGATTGTGGTCACCATGGTAAGATTACCACCCATCATCATAGTTGTGCTCAGAAAAGGTTATTTTTTCATTATCTGCCTCGCCATAAAGTTTATAAATAGCAATGTTGGCTGCAATATATTGCCTCGCCAATATAATGTTGCTATAAACTTTGGCTGCATATCTTAAAAATAGCCCATCATCATAACACAAAATACTCATACCAACCAAAAACCAACCAAGAGCTGAAACCAAGGCCGAGAGCATGTTGAAACCATGCACAAAATTAAAACAAAGGCCAAGCATCAACATGAAACCAAAGGCCAACCATAGCTGACCAACAACACATATGAAATCAAAGGCCAACCATAGCTGACCAACAACACATAATAGTACCAAGAGCTGAAACCAAGGCAGAGAGTACAATAAACCTGCACAAATTTGAAATAAAGGCCAAGCTTCAACTGAATTCGAAGGCCAACCATAGCTGACCAACCAAAGGCCAAGCAAGAGCTGAAACCATTGCAACCATGGCCAACCAAAGGCCAACACAAAAATTTAGGGTCCAAGGGCCAAGCAACAAGAGGCTGCAACCAAGGAAAGCACACACCTGAACATGAATCATCACATGGAAACAGCAAACCAAACAACCAACATGAAAACAGCAAACCAACACAACCAAGAGCTGAAACCAAGGCCAACTGGAACACAAACTCAGACTCACCAAAAGCCAACACAACAACTTAGCTCCAAAGACCAAGCACCTGAAACCAAAGGCCAACTCAAACACAAATTCAGACTCACAGAACTGATCAACTCAGTCACATAAAGCATGAAAATAGGCGAACAAGAGCCAAGCTGAAAATGAGGCCAAGCTGAAACCATTGCAAAAATCTAGGCTCACCATTGCAACATGCCAGGTACACAATGGAAACCACAAAAA